CAAGCAATTAATGCACTATTAATTATGTATTTAATTCTTTATTAATGTTGTAATTAGTTAGTCATTATTATCGGTAGCGGTTACGATTTGTATACGCCTATAAAAGGCGGCTTGTAATTCATATTAGAGAAGAAACTTCTATATGCTATTTCTGGCTAACTTTCCATATTCGTACTTTCCTAATTCTTGCTTGAGTGTCGTACGTAGCTTTCCTAAAAGCCTACGAGCGTCCTATTTTGGACCAACATTGGTGCTTTCGTTGAGAGCCTCTATTGTTTCTCTCATCACTCTAGTAGGAATTTTCAGAAAAATGTGTGAAAATCGAAGGTTTCTAGCAGTTTTTTTCCAGGTTTGTAATCCAAAATCTGGAAATAGAATGAAAAAATATAAGCCAGTGACCGGCGTCCACACAGGAGGTCCCGAAAGTTATCTGCCAAAAGAAACAAAATCAACAAAACTAGGATTTCAGAAACTGTCGATGATGTCAGCTATGTCTCAGTCACCGGAGATGGAATTTTAGAACTGGGGTTTTCCGGTGCTAAGTCGGAGATGTCCTCATCGTCCTGGTTTCCGCCACTCGCCAGCTCCCCACCCATTCTCGGGTCTGAGCCGAAATTGCCTCGCACCGTCCGCTGCAGGTCGCTCCGCCATCTTTGTCATACCGCTGTTGGCGTCGCACCTGGTCTCCTTTGCGGCTCGATGGTAAGAACTTGAATCATGACGAGGATTGACCTTAAGCATCCGCCATTAATGGATCCTAAGAGCTCCAGGAGTGACATATCGTGGACAAGTGCACCCCTGTGGAGATGGAACTCCCATGTCTGTCTGTCGCCGCCTGAGGAACCTTCGCCGATGTTGCCCGAGTCCTAGCGAACTCACCCCTCGTTGATTTCGCCCAGCCGCTGGTGGCCTGGTGCTGCCTGATGAAGATTTGTTGTCTTCGGCCTCAGTCGATGCAGTGTTGCGCCCTTAATGATTGAGGCTCCAAAGGGTAAGCTATAGTAGTTGTATGCTACTGCCCACTCGCCAAACGTGAGAGCCGCCAAAGGCTAGGTCAAAATTGTTAGTGGAGCTACCCAACTGCTATTTCTTTATCAGCCAACGCAGGCACACAACCCATTCAGTGTTGAGCCCAATTCAAAAAAGCTAAGTATCCAAAAATCCACTATATTTTGATACAAAAAAAAAATATTACAAAAAAATCATAAATTGAATCATTTGAAAAGATATTTTAAGTGGTGTAATTGCTTTAACTCTTGTTGAGCGTGTGTAATTTTAACATTGAAAAATGGACTTATGAAATCCGATCACTCACGTACACCGGACGAGCACACACACTCGTACAATGGCCGAGCACACACACTCGCGCCACCGGGTCATGTCATATGGGTGTGGCGATTAATAAGCCCCAATATAAATGTTAATACCTCACACTCTTGACTTCTTACGGGTTCTTGTGTGCTCTTACCTCTTCCTAGTGCATCACACTCCGACCTCGGGAGACGAGTCATCCGTTCAAAAGTCTTTACTTGCGGGTTCGAACTACTAACCTCGGGCGGCGATTTAAACTCTTGTTAGGGGCCTAGAGCCACGCTTTTCCGAGCAATTTTGTCACTTAATTGACGTTCACATTTCTCGAAGAGGTTGATATACTTTAGTTCTCTGGGGTTGGATTATCCGTTCGAGTGAGGAGTCCGCTTCACTTACTCGCGGATTCAATCTTTCTTTCGGAGACTGGGTTGAGGCCTAACTTGGGAACATGATGTCACTCTTTTCAAGTAGTGAGTCCGACTCGCTTACATACTGAGCCGTGGTTTGACACCAGGCCAGATGCTCTATTCTACACTAGTTTCTTTTATGTGTAGGTACAACTGAATGAAGTGGGGGATTGAGGGTCTTACCGTCTTCAAGGAAGCAAATGACGAACCTGACGAGTCTGAGCTCAACGAGAAGAACAGTTCTAGCCATCCTATTCGCAGATGGCGACCATTACAATAAAGGCTGAGGATCTCACCTCTTGCTTCATCTTGGGGGCGTCAGATGTACCCTTTTTCCCTTCATTAGGATTTTTTTCCCATTGGGTTTTTTCCTAATGAAGGTTTTTAATGAGGCATCTCCCCAACATGGACAAGGGCGGGGATCTTCTAGTCTCGGAGAAGAGTAACTGACTTGGACTACTCCCTCTTAGCTGAGTCTACTACTCGACTAAGGGAGTGGGGGACTCGTGATGGAGTAATAGGACTAGGCCCAGAGCCTAATCAGCCCAAGCCCCGAACTTGGACCCGTCCAAGTCCACAACCTAGAGCCTGCCTGCCAACCCAGCGGGAAGCCTGCCAGTCCGACCGACCTCCCAGCCCGGAAGAGTAACGGTCAAGCAATTAATGCACTATTAATTATGTATTTAATTCTTTATTAATGTTGTAATTAGTTAGTCATTATTATCGGTAGCGGTTACGATTTGTATACGCCTATAAAAGGCGGCTTGTAATTCATATTAGAGAAGAAACTTCTATATGCTATTTCTGGCTAACTTTCCATATTCGTACTTTCCTAATTCTTGCTTGAGTGTCGTACGTAGCTTTCCTAAAAGCCTACGAGCGTCCTATTTTGGACCAACAGTTAGGTTTACGGAAACCAATCTTTCAAATATATAATATCTTAAGGTTGGGATTCCGTATTACATTAGACTAATGTGAATGCTTTCATTTTTTTAGCTTGAAAATACTTAAAATGAAGCAGAATTTTGTACTTCGTATTTGAAAACACCTTTTTAAATTTTCCATTGAAATTACTGAAAACACATTTTTTAAAGAAAAACACCGATTTATTAATGATTTAAATGATTGATACAAAAGTAATTCAGATAGTTTAATGCTACAATGGGATGTGAAATATAATATAATTGAAAAATTCTAAAGGGACATAACAATTCACTGACCATGCAAAAATATAGACCTCTCTATCAACATACTAGAAGTTCTTGCTACTAAATCAAAAATCAAGACTATAATTAATATTAAAACTACTTTACGATAGAAAATAAACAAATAATCATTGTTTATCCAGTCACCAGAAAGAAACGTCTAAAATCCTCAATTTGACCAGCTACCGAGAGGAAATTGTCAATATTATCAATGTGACCAGTCACAGAAAAGAAGACCCAATTGAGTGTTATCTTTCTCTTATAGCATGACGTTTATTCAGGGGAAGAACGAATAATTTCTCCGAAATTACCAACGTCTGAAGTTAACCTTTCAAAAATAACAAAACAAGATTAGCTTTGCCAATCACCAACACTCGATTAGTATCACCGATGAAGATTACACAATTCCTAAACATTATTAACAAAAAATTACATAAAAATACTTGAAAATACTAACAAAACATATCGAAGTAGAAAAGATTGAGGAGAAGAGACTCAAGAGAGAGAAACTCTACCATTAAGGTTATGTTTGGCACAACGAGCTGGAGCTGGCTGTTAATGTCTGAATTAGGGGCTATTGTCTACATGAGAAACTGTTGTCTGAAGCTGAACTTTGAAATGCTGAATCTGAATTGCTAGTTGAACGGAATAGACCTGTTTGGCAAAAAGAGCTGAAAAATACTTATTCGAATGATTTTTATATTTTCAGCCTTTTAAAATATTAGTATATATGTATATTCGTATTTGCCAAAAAGATAATTGTATATGTATGTGTGTGTATAATATATGTGTGTGTGTGTATATATATATATATATATATATATATATATATATAAACAACATAGTGCTTTGAATATCTAAAAATCACAACATTTGTGTATACGTTAAAAAATAAAAGCATCATATGTTATAGATAAATATGTTTTGTAAAAAAAACATAAGATCTACAACTCTAAAGCTTTTATTGTTTACAAATTACAAATATAATACGGAGTATGTAGTACGTAGTATAAAAGATAATGTATATAACAGTACGCATGAGGAAATATATACTTAAGGAATTGGAAGGATACATCCGAAACGCACAGGTAGCTCAGTTGGTCGAGTGGTGAAAGATTTGGAACAATGGACCAAGTTTCGAATCTCCGCAGCGACCGGGTGGAGGTCACAGAATCTGAAATAAGGCTGGGCCTCTGGTGCACACAGGTGTATGTGCCTACTGACATTCTACTGACTGAGTCACCGTGACTAACCTCCCCACCATCCTGTCGGGTCGGGGTGGGGGGCTCCTGGGGTGGGAGATTCCACCTTTTGGAACAATAGGAATTGGAAGGATACGGTGAAAGATTTTAGGAATTTTATCAATTCAGGACCCGAAAGATAGATTAATTATCAATTCAGAACCCTGAAGATTAAACGTATCAGTATAGAACCCGAATGATGGAAAACTATCAATTTAGGACCTAACGTTTCATAGGTTTTGATTTATTTAATTTTTTATTAATTCCATTACTAATTTTTGATAAACTTTTCTTCACAAAAGTTTATTAGTTTAATAAAATGAAATAATATTTAAATTTTTTTAATAAAAAAATTATGACAACTTAGGTCCTAGATTGATAGTTTTCAATCATTCAGGTCCTAAATTGATAGTTTTTCATCATTCGGATCTCATATCGATGCAATTTATCTTTCAGATCCCGAATTCATAATTAATCTATCTTTCAGGTCCTGAATTGATAAAATTCCAAGAATTTATTAGCAACCGTAAATAGTGGAATATTGATAGAAGGTATGTGGATAAATTAGGAATCCATTTCATCGACTGATAGGAAACGCTTCATTGTTGAACGTTTTTATTCAGCCCAAATATTTCAGTTTAAGCTTAATTCAGTCCTGTCTCCAAACAATAATTCTTTTGTTATAATTAGCTGAATTTTTGAAAATTCAGCTCATTTGGGGCTGAAATCCACCGCCAAACATAGCCTAAGTCCAAGTCTCCAAACAGTCCAATTTCTTTCAAAGTTCGGCCCATGTTATCTATCGGGTCGGTCTATAACGGCTACCCTGCATTCCGCCCCTTTCGAAGTCTACGTTACATCGAATACCCTGTATTGTTCGTCCTCGTCAGAAGCGTCCTTCTCTACAGGATTTCTTCTTTCTTCTCCTAACATTTACAATCTGTTCAAGTGATTTTAAGACTGTTAGCCCTTTTCCAGTCGAACTCCATTTCTACTCTTCTGTATATTTTGTACATCGGAAAAAATGGAGGGTTCGCAAGAAACACATCATTACATCCGGGAATCGACCGAGCAATCGATTGAACTCCCTGTGCCAAGAAGCACTCTGGAGTTGAAACTCCAATGCTCCGAACAAGCTCTTCTTGCCCTGCGTGCTCAGTATCTTTGTTTACGGTCAAAGCTAAATGAAAAGGACCAAATCATTGAACGCGCTAGGGTTTGCACTTTCTTCCCAAATACCATTCTTTAACCTAATCATATCATCTAATTTCTGGATTATCATTATTTTTCTATCGCACACCACTTGTATTTAGGCGGAATCTTGTATGAATGCTACTGCGATGAAGAAATTTGTGGAGGAGAATCAGAGACTCGCGAAGGAATGCTCTAATCTGTTGTCACAATGCAAGAAGTTGGAGAGGGAGTGTTCGTTATACGAAAACGACAGGGAAGCGCTGATGGATTTCGGGAACGAAGCAGACCAAAGGGCCAAGACTGCAGAGAATCGTATCAGGGAGTTAGAGATAGAGGTGGAAGACTTGTCTGAGGATTTACAGTTCCATAAGCGTCATTTAGCTCAAAAGGAAGCTCAGATGGTAATTAAAGTTAACAAATATAGTGATTTTTTACATTTTTTAGGTCTTTTAAATGCAAGCTGGGATTATGTGAATTGAATATTTGGCAAACCATGCAGAATTTGGTGAATCTATTTACATATTTAGTTATTTGGCATCACAGATTCACATGTACAGGCCGAATAACCTATTTTACTAATTAGAACTAAGAAGAATGCATTACTAATCTCAGAAAGAGACCCTCGATCTGAAGTATGTCCCTGCTCATAGGAGAAAGTGAAAACATGAGTGACTGGTTAACTATTTTAGTCATATGCTTTGACCTAGAAAATGTGCTCTTCGTACTACCTGGCAAAGAAATCCAAAAATGTTACTTCTTTAACATGGGTAATAGTTATATTTTTTCTGCTTTCGTTGTATTAATGAGTAAGGATTGCCACACTATCATTGGAACCACAATTGTTTACTACGGAGTACTTAGCAATATATTATATGCCTTTGCTGACAAATGGATCAACTTTCTATTCTTACAGAAGGTTGATACGTGTAGAGAAGATGATTGTAGGGAAGAACAAAGTCTGGTAGATTCCTTATTGGAAACTGTAGGTGTCAAAGTTGAAGATCCATCAGCAAGAACACTAGCTTTTCTAGAGTCCAATAGCAGTTTTGATTCTTCTTTCCAAACTCTGTTAAAATTGCGGGATAGGTAGGTAACATTTAAAGCTTGGTTGGTTACTCGTAGTTTTCCAAAGTGCTTGTTGTAAGAGTTCATTTAATTTAGTAACTCTTTTTAAAAAGAATCACTTAATTGTTAGTAGATTGAGGCCATCAACACGCAGTGTTGTTGTTCTGGCGGCTGAAGCCTTGGCTTTGAGAAAAGACAAGGAATACTTGTTGAATAACCTTCTTAGAGCAGAAGATGAGGTGAAAGTTATTTTTGAAGAAAACAATATTCTGGAGAAGGCAAATAAGAAGCTAACAATCAAACTCCACCTTAAAGAGGGCAACATTTCTTCAAAGGTATTACTGTAATCTGAACCTGATTCTTTTTTCTGGTTATGTAAATCCCCATTTAACCTTCTTCATTTTTCTAACTTCGCGTTTGGCAATATCTTTTTCACATAGCAGGGGAACAAGAGAAAATCGAGCCCCTTGAAAAGATGCCCCATTGAGCTGGATGATGTGGATTTGTTGTCAAGGCAGCCCTTATCATCACCCCTAAGGGAAAATTAGAATGAGAGTTTTGTGTATGAAAACCTAGCTTTTGCTGACAAGGCAAAGATGATATAGTTCTAACTCAGTAAAGAATCAAATGTTATGAACTCCTTGGGAGTCCTTGCACCTACCTCTCTGCATCCGATGTAGGTTTCCTGTCGCGATTTCAAAGTGATAGAAGATCTTTCTGAAATTCAGTCATAGTATAAAAAGTGGATGAAGTAGATATATATTGTAAAGGGAAAAGTTTGTCCCTAAACAATTAAAGTTTTTCAATTGAAGAAATATGCATGAAATACTTGAGCTAAAATGCTGTGGTACGTGTAAAAGTTTGTCCCTAAACAATTAAAGTTTTTACAGTAAAACTATACAAATAAGTTGAAGTTTTTGCTTCCTTCTAGCCCATTTGGTAACCACTATCAAAAGTGCAGTACTTTAAGAAATAATAACATACAGGGCCGGTCCTGAAAAAATGAAGGCCCTGTGCAACAAAAATAATTGGGCCTTCTTTTAAAAGTTTCAACACAAGTTAAAAAACCGAACCGAAACCGCACCGACTCAAACAGGACCCGAAAGTCGGGACTTGAACATAAATCGGTTTAATGAAGGTTTTTTGAGTTATAAAATCGATTCAAACCGAACCGATTTTAATTAAGAGGTATTTTTAATTATTTATTTTGTAGAACAAATAAGTAATATAAAGCTTGTACGTCCTTATTCCAATTCAACAATTAGTTGATTCAGTCCAGTGGGTTGATGTTTAGAGATTTAGCGTGCATGATTTTATTTTCACCTAGGTTCGAATCCCGCATGCCTCGCTTCTTATCTTTTTAGTTTCTAAAGCTTAAGATTCTCACACCGATGAAAACGGAGGATTTAGTACTCATTCGTTCCTATATATACTCCCTCCGTCCCAAATTGTTTTGCAAAGTCAACATTTTTTTGTCAACCAATAAAAAAAGTCAATGCTTCCTATCGATAATTAATTCCATTTTTAATAATTAAAATTTATATATTCAGAAACTATATTAATATCTCTTCAAAGTTGTAAATTCCAAATTAGAATATTATTAAAAATTGACATCCTAATTAAGCAAATAAAATGAAATTGTTTGACCACGAAAAGTTAAATTTGCAAATCAATTTGGGACGAATGTAGTAGTATATTACTACAAAAAAAATTGGGCCCTTCCAATTTTTTTGGCCCTGTGCGGTTGAACACCCTACACACCCTCAGGGCCGGCCCTGATAACATACTTGTAGGAATTATAGTAGTAACTTTAGTCAAGTAAAATAAGTTTCATTGTGGTAACATAATATGAAAAATCTCCCATTGAGCTACTTCCATTAGAATTTCATCCATTGTTTGACCAATACTCCAAGTAAATAATACAGTTGTTTCATTTCTAGCCATTTGAATTGAATAAGAATATTTTTAATTTTATTGATTTAAACGTATTAGAATAAGTTGGACTAGAATACTAGATTTAGACAATAATAAAATACTCATAAAATAGACAACTATAATACTAGTTTAGATGAGATCAAATCTTAAAATTTCTATAAAATTAAAAATATCACAACACAGGACTTAAACGTATGTACAATTAAAGATAACCATGTATCTTCATTCCGCTTCTCCTCTGTTGTATGTCCACCATCATAAACATTGAATAAGAAACGTGGACATGTGGTTGGGTTAGGGATCGGCCCGAATCCGTAGGGTTAAACTCTATCTTTTTTTTTTTAGCAAGGCGGCTTAAATTGATATCACAGCATTCAGAAAGGGAACAAGAAGATAAAAGGAACACTTCCAACCGCCGACTCTTGAACCAGACTTAGAGCCAATCACCATGTAAAAAGCAATGTGGCTTGCTGATCCTATAATGGATCTAAGTGAGCCTAACGCGGTCGAAATAGCACCCTCATCACCTAATCCTAATGCAAGAGTCTGACAGAAATAAAAGTAAATGACAACAACCAAAACAGTCTGATCAAAGCAAAAAAACAAAAGAGAAAACATAAAAGTGGAACTTCATCTGCATCCTAACCATCCCGAGCACCTTCCCCTGTCCTCCCCTGTGCTGGAGTGTCTTCCTGGTTCGCGGCGGGTCTAGGGACCAAGACCCCCCCCCTCTCCGTTTTTTGGGAAGTCCAGAGCCATGTTGTCCCCCCCACTATCCTCGTGCTGCTTTTCCTCCCACATCCTTCTACGTTTCTGCTCTACCGAGATCTCCTCTGTAACTGCTGCTTCACCCGCCTTAGGTTTATCCTTGCTAGCGTCCACCACGGTGAGAGCTCGTTGTTGCCCTTCTGTCCCACCCCTTCCAATTCTGTCGTTCTCTTTTTCCGGATGATTGTCCTGCTGAGTCGATCCCTTTCCACCTGAAGAACCTTCAAGGACCAACCATTTGTTGCCTCCCATCGGCCGAGATTTCCCTCCCCCTCTAGCACGGAGGCTAACCTCATAGGGTTTATTCAAAACTTTGTTCTCACACTCATAAGCCAGAGGGCAAAACCCGTCAGCATGACCAATAATACCACAAGCAAAACAAAAGTTAGGAAGTTTCTCGTACTTAAAATCCACCCAATGGCCTGTACCTCACCGCTTCCTAAGAGTCGTACCTACTTTCAACGCCTTCCCTACATCCATACAAACTCTAATTCTCATATAGGAATTCAACCTCGCCTCAAACTGACTTTCATCAAAACTGATAAATAATAATATTAGAATTTATAATACGGAGTAATATACAAAGGGCCCTAACAGATGTTATACAAACGCATTGCAATTTGTTTTACCTTAAATGCTAAATTTAGTACACAACCTTGCGTGAACACATCAATAAAAAATATATTATAATTCATAAAGTGCATAAATATATTTTATAAATTCAATTTCACAATTAAATATAGAAAGGTATACACATAAACACATCAAACACCAGGCACTAAGACAAAAACTTGGATAACAATAAAAAGGGAAAACTGTCAATTAGATCCTTGAACTTTCATAAAAAAATCAATTAAGTCCTTCTATAGAATTTACATACCAGAGCAATATATAGAATTTACCATCGAAAAGTTAAAAATGAAAACATTCCGTTATATATATATATATATATATATATATATATATATATATATGATGAAAACAAGGATAGTGGATAAAATTTTGACTTATTAATTTTTAGTGGTCATAATTATGTCTAAATTTTATATTGTAGTGATCATAAATGTATACTCATGGCAACTTTATTTATGTCGAATAATTTTAGGGGGTTTTCCCTTAATATTAATAAACTAAGGTTAATTTTTAAAAAAGTCACCACATTTACATTTGGACAAAAATGTGACTCATGCACAGTGACATTTCTGCAGTAACATTCTCGCAGCGACATCTCTGCCATCGTCGGCCACAATGACATCTCTGTCATCGCTGGCTATAGTGACACCGCCACCAGCCACAGAGACACAGGCACAGTGACACTGTCATCTCTGGTCACGGTCTCCAGTCACAGTGACATGACAACTCTGATCACAGTGACACGTTGACTCCGACCACAGTGACATGCTGACACTACCAAATCTGCCATTAGTGACCAACAATCCCCAACCGTACCATGGCTACCATCGACATTGTTCCTCTTACGCCTCCATCACTACCACACCCTCAGACCACCGCCATTGCCACACCCTCAGACCACCGCCACTGCCCCCAAACCCCAACCCCCTGCCCATCCCCTGACCTTTCCCTTCTCTACGCCCCTCCCATGTCACACTAGACCTCCCCAACCTACTTCGCCTCCACAACCCTCCTCCCCAGCCTCACCCTCAGGACCTCCCTCCTAGTCAGATCCATAACTGCAACGCGTCATCTCTACGCCTCTCCGACGAAAACATTTTTTGCTCCTGGGCATTTGTCACGGACAGATCCGTGACAAATCCGTGACAAACTCTCTCACGGATTACTGTTCGTGACAACAACTTTGTCACGCCCCTGGTGTCACGGATCTGGCCCGTGACAAAGTCCGTGACAAAATCATTTGTCACGGATTTTTTGAACTACGGTCCGTGACAAAATCCGTGACAAATCAGATGTTTTTTGTAGTGAACTGTTTACTAATTTGTTTACTTTCATTATATAACTTGTAGGCATTCAACATCCGATATTCATTCACCGAAGGAAGAAATCAATGAGACACTGAAGCAATGGGCATCATTTTTTTGTGAAGTTATGACATAATTTGTACTATGTTGTTAAGTTGGACACAAATTTTGTTGAGGGTGTTCAAAATAACAAACACTCCTATATGTATACACTTTATACTTTTTTTAATTATAATAATATATGTTGTTGATATTATCTTAAAACATTGGTTTTTTTGTTAATGTGAACTGGAGTGTAAAGAATACGAATAAAAAATGATAATAGTATTTGGACAAAAAGGGTAGTAGTAAAAACTCTAGTTGGGCAAAGTATAACATTTAATATGGGTTGTAATAACCCATATGGATAGTCTTCCATAACGGTTGCTTTTCACCCGATATCAAAACTTTTTTGTAACGGTTCAAAAATACCCATAATTAAAACCTTTCATAACGGTTCCCGAACCCATATTAAAAGTACCGGACTTTTAATAGGTGCTGCAACAATAACGATTTTGAACCGTTATTAAAAGTCCATTATAACCGTTATTAAATCCATATTTTCCACTAGTGAGGGGAACGTGTTATGAAGAATTGCAGCTCTTTTCAAGTGAAGAAATCTTGACTATCGATCTCTTAAGAATTGCAGTTTTAAGTTAAAAAAAATAGGCCCTAGCTCTGATACCATGTGAAATAATAGGAATGAATACTCTCAATAGGAGCTCTGACAGATTTATTTATAATAAAAAAGAGTTGCCTAAATAACAATTATTTCTAATTTAATATTAGGCTATTACTTCATGGCCAAGGGCCAAGGCCGGCCCGATCATATTACTCAAGGAATAATATGGCTATAGATGATATCAATACGAATATATGATAAGGGAAAAAGT